ACCTAAAAATATGGTCAATTGACACCTTAAAGGTTTCTGAGCAGCTCTAACTCTTAGTGACATCTCCAGTTGCATCCCTAGTATGCTCAAAACAGATAAAGTGGATGCATTGATTTTAGTTGTATAAAACCCTTGACAAAATCTCTTTGTGGCCATCTCTGCAGTCTCTTGATGATTTATAAAGGATTTGCTTATGACACAAATGTGATCCTTCCACTCTTTTCCATTTTGTTTTTCAACTAGGTCCACAGTGAATTTCCTGAGGCCAAGAGACCAACAGCAAAAAATGCTTAGGTACCCAGGGCTAATCATGGAAAGTTTACTAATTTGTATTAGGAGATGGCACTAGAATTGTGACTCAGATTGTATCAATATTATCGTCAGCAGAGCCTGGAATTGGACCACTTTAGGATTCTTAAATTCTAGCTCCCATATACAAAGATTTGTTGACTAAATTCAGACTAGTGAGAGCTAGGGAAAAAAGCATACTCACATGCATTCTAAATAAATTTTGACACTCTTCCGTGGGTTTCTTGGGATGAGGTAAAAAGAGTTCACGTTAGAAGATAGGTCTAAATTCTGAATCTTCATTTAAATTTCTCAGAATTCCCTAACTTCAATAGTTTCCTATGCTTCCTATTCGTTCTTTTCTGGATTCTTTCCCCATGCAGATGAGAAGCCATTTCTAGCTAACGAAACAGATCTGAAAAGGGAGGTTTTGGAAGTCTCCAAAATGTTTTGACATTAAATCCCAAATGTGGAAGACTGCTCTTGGCTCTAGAGATGTTAGGTAACCTTGATCATTTATTTTCACTCCAGCTTTTTATATCTCTAGATTTCCCTCTAGAAAATTAATGTCACCACATTCCTCTGAGACAAATATTTCTCTATAGAGATGCTGCTAAAGTCATCAAAAAGGTAAAAATCCTTTGTTCAATAACACGTATTGAGACGTGGAAGCAAGGAGCTGTAACAAAGAGATGAACAAGACACGGATCGTGGTGAGACACAAGCAAAGAAATCAATGGTCAAATATAAAAGATGTGAAGAAAGAGACAGAAGGGACTCCTAATTCAGCAGCAGGAGAGGGTGGGGATGTCAGAAGAAGCTTCCAAAAGAGGAGACAGTTGAGCCAAATACGGAACAGTGGGTAGGAGTTCACCGAGCATAAAGAAGGTGTCCTAGTCTCCTAGAGCTGCCATAACAAAGAGCCACAAATCGGGTGGCTGGGAACAATAGAACTTTATTGTCTCATAGTTCTGGAAGCTGCAGTCTGAAATCAAGGTGTCAACAGGGCCGTGCTCCCTCTGAAGGCACTGCCTTCTGGCTTCTGGTGGTTCCTGGACTTGTGACAGCATCACGGCAATCCTCACATGATGCTCTTTCTGGTTGCGTGTCTGTGTCCAAATTCTCCCTTTTTCCAAGGGCACCGGTCATACTGGATTAGGGGCCTGTTGTCCTCAGGTATGATTTCATCTTCACTTAATCACACCTGCAGTGAAACTATTTTCAAACAAAGCCACCTTCTGAAGGTACTGGGGTTAGGACTTAAACATATGAGTGGGGATGGAGGACACAATTCAACCTCTCATAGAGGGGGAAAAGCCAATGAGGCCAGGTAAATTCCGGCACAGTCACTGCAGGAGGACTCTGAGGTGGGGCTGAAGTGTGTGCTGGAAAGAATGGAAAGAACCTGGGAGAGTGCTAGGCATTCAGATCACAGAGAGCGCTGGGGGCCAATGACACACTTTGACTCTTCTCCTGAAGATCATGGGAAGCCACTAACCAGAGGCATGGCGTAATCAGGTGTGCAGCTTAAAAAAGTTCTCTGACATCACATGGCAGATGAATCAAAAGGGGCAGAATTGAGGCTGGGAGAGGGACCCTTTAACAGAAGTAGAGGGCAAACAGTTCTTATGAACTATTTCCTTAGTCTAACTATTTAATTAATAACTGTTTCCTCATTAACTCTAATTCCCTAGAAAGATGTCACTCTCATAATTAGACTCACTGAGGTCCTACCAAATGCCTGGTATGGTATGGTACTAGGTTATGAGAATATAGTACACAGATATCTGTATCATAGATATTTTATAAGTATCTAAGTCAAAATTATGAAGCATATAAACATGTTGAGAAGACAATGCTACATAAATTAGACAAAGAGAACAAAATAGACTAGAGAGAAAATAAAAGTCAATACCAAAAGAGTAATGTGTTGCTAAAAGTGAAAATTAAGAAAGCCTTCTGAAGGAAGCAGTACTTTGTACTGGTCTTAAAAAATGAGAATTTGGATAAAACAAGAGTAAACTGAGTTGATGTTTCAATCTCTTTTTTTCAAAACAAGTTATTACTTTCTTCAACTACCAGGAGATGAACTAAGAACTCCTTAACAATGCTAAGATTAGGAGTAGAAGAGTAATAATTGGTACACATTGCAAAACGCTTTATTTTAAAAAAACACTTTAAATTTTTGTAACTCCACGCACAGAGATCTATACAGTATAAAATGACTTGACTCCAACTTTAACACTTTAACATTAGGAACTGGCCGGCTATTCTAGGGAGACAACAAGAAATCTTCTCCCAGAAATACATGCAGCATTGAATGTCAGCACTCTGGCAAGTAAACCACGGCAATGTCTTTCTGAGCCCTCCCAACTTGTTCGGAATCCAGAAAGAAAGTGATTCATTTTTGCCCTTTAGGAAACAGGAGCAATTTTCATATTGTGAAATCTTGGCAATGGTTTCCTCTTCACAATAGGTGAGGGGGAAAAAAGCTGCATTAGGTACCATCTGTCAAATATAAATCCTTCAAAACTAGCAGTGACACCAGAATAAAATAACGTGGTGCAAATGTGGACAATTGACTTTATGTGCATAATCCTGTTAAGAAAAGCTGTCTTCACATGGTTTATTATCCTTCTTTCTTAGTGACATTAAAAAATTTCATCCTCAGGGTGCCTGGGTGGTTCAGTCGGTTAAGCAGCCTACTCTGGATTTCAGATCAGGTCATGATCTCAGTGTCCTGGGATTGAGCCCCACATCAGGCTCCTTGCTTAGGGGTAGTCTGCTTGAAAGTCTCTTCCTCTGCCCCTCCTCCCACTCGGGAGTACACCCTCTCTCTCTCTCTCAAATAAATAAATAAATCTTTTAAAAATAACCAGTATATTAAACAAAGATAAGTTATGTCATGTAATCTGTCCTCATCTTTATTTTCAGGCCTCCTACTCTCCTGTTAAGATGCATTCAATGTGGAAACTTGCCTTCTGCCCCAGGATGAAAACTCAGAGACTAGGTAGTCCTGTGATTTTTTCTAATAATTCTGAAAAGGAAGGAAGGAAAGAAGAAGAAAGAGAGGGAGGGAGGGAGGGAGAGAAGAAAGAAGGAAGAAAGCAACATGGCTTATAGTTATCTTAAGTTAGAAAACTTGTCTAAGTTTAGTAGCTAAACATCCATAATATCATATAATAATAAAAAAATTTGAACATGATTTTAAGGTAAAACATTCTCCTTTCTGAACTCTGAAGGGTTCTGAAAACAGGAAGCTGGGGGAAGCAGCATGAATCTGCCTATTCGTGCCCTTCATCCCCACCCCTCCTTCCTCATCCCTGTTCCCCACCCCCATCAAGATTGCTGACTCAGTCTGGAAGTCAAAGCAGCTGGGAGAGAAGTTGGGGAAAAAGAGCAGCAAAATTTCACTGGACTGGTCCTGTCATTGTCATATGATGACATGTGAGCCAGACAATTGATGAAAATTGATTCTCCTTCTTGGGAACTTTCATGGTTTATTCAGAGACCACCAGGGGAATATGTGCTTCCTGTGACACAGGTGAAATGTTTTCTCTCTTTGGCCACTCCCGCCCCACTTCTTCCCTCCCTCCAATAGGAATTTTCCAGCAGTCCACTCCACACTGTCTGTCTCAGTCGCTCATTGCCCCTACAGGTGGCCCTCCTTTGGACAGGATTGAAAATGTCTTTCCCTTCCCCCTTCTCTTCTCTTCTCACATTCAATCCTTGGGAAAGAATGAGACTTTTTAGCCCAACAATCTCTAACATCTACCTTCAAAGACTTCAACTGATGGAAAGAGATTTGTCATAGACGGACTTGGGTGACCCTCTTAAAGACAATGATCCTGATGATGCTAATACTTATTGACCACTTACTAGTACCAGATACTTTTAAAAACATTTTTCATGAATGAACTCTTTGAATCTTCACAACAAACCTATGAAGTAGGAATTACCATCTCTAGGAAACTGAAGCACAGAAAAATTTAAAAACTTGCCGAGTCATCCAGCCAGTAAATGATGGTGCATGGAGAGTTCCTCTTTTCATTGCATTCTGGTCTCCTACTTAGGTTTCCTGACTGCCTTTGGCCACACATCCTGTGCCACTCTCCTGCGAGAACACCTCTCAAAACAGGATTCCTAGCACCATTTGCAAACCTTAAAAAGATATATCATGTATATTCCTGTGAAACCAAGTGGCACAGTGTCTGCCCCAACTCTTGCTTCACCCAGAGCTAAGCCAATTCACTCTTCAGATATTTGGCCAACATCCAGGAACAAAAACACAAGGCAACTCAAGTGGTCAAAGAAGTAGACCCAGATGGTCTTGCCTCATTCCCACTTTGACCTTTACCTGTTATACTTTCCTTTCTTAGCTTGTTCTCTGACATTTAAGGAAGCAACGAGGCTTGGTTCTTGCAGCTGGACCTTGGGTTGTTGTCTTGGTCAAAAGCATCTTGGTTAATAGATAAACCAAGTGCTATAAGACCTCAAGCCCACAACCTCTCAGGCAAACTAGGGAATGTGAAGCACGAAACACTGGAAAATAATCAACTCCTACTTTATTCACACCAGTGAGGATTTGGAGAATTCTACAATATAAATATGTGTGTTGTTTCTGCTGCTCCTGGTGCTGCTTGTGTGCTTGTTCGGTGCGGACCTGGTACGTTTTATGTGAAGCAGCAGCTGAGGAGACTCCGGCACTCACCATGGCCGACGAAAAGCCTAAGGAAGGAGTCAAGACTGAGACCAACTATCATATTAATTTGAAGGTGGCAGGGCAGGATGGTTCTGTGGTACAGTTTAAGATTAAGAAGCATACACCACTTAGTAAACTAATGAAAGCCTATTGTGAACGACAGGGTTTGTCAAGGAGGCAGATCAGATTCCGATTTGATGAGCAGCCAATCAATGAAACAGACACACCTGCACAGTTGGAAATGGAGGCTGAGGATACAATTGATGTGTTCCAGCAGCAGACAGGAGGTGTCTACTAAAAAGGGAACCTGCTACTTTACTCCAGAACTCTATTCCTCCAGACCAAGAAGACATTCTCAATTAAAAAGCCGCAATTTGGTTCCACCACATCCTGACTACTACAGTATAGTTTTCTCTATTCTTTCATTTTCCCCTTCCCCATTCCTTTATTGTACATAAAGTAACTGTGTATGTGCACAAACATATTGCATTTTTTAAACTAAATGGCCAATGGTATGTTTTGATCGACATCAAATGGAGATGGGATGGGGGAAATACTGCTTCTGTGAAAATATCCCCCTCTCCATTAGTGGCATGCTCAGTCAGCTCTTATCTTTATATTCCAGTAAGTTATTTTGCTCTCACTGTTTAACAAAAAAAGAACAACATAAAAATCCTTGCATACCTTGTTCGATTGGCGAATTTTAATGTTTTTCATTTATCATTGTAAAACCAAGGACAATTTTATAACTTTTTTGTATGGAGCTGTTACATGTAGGGCAATCTGTTTTTAAGTGGGGGTAAATTACTCTAAAAGAAATGAATCCTAGATAGTTTTTCCTTCAAGTCAAGCATCTTGTTTTTTAAATAAACTTGTTTTAAAAAATAAATAAATAAAAATAAATATGTGTGTTTTCAGCCATACTTTGTGCAACATTAGAGCATCTCATCTGCAAAACCTACTAAACTGGAGATCTTCAGCTATATAGTGAGAACAAATAAAGCTTATTATATTCTATGTAAAGAAAAAAACCACAACCCTCCAGCCTGCCCTTGTGTGTGTCACTGGCAGATGTGAGGACCAGTCAAATCATATGCAAATTCAACCAATCAGAATTTAGCAACTCCTGAATGCTGAAGATGTCTCTTGCAAGTAATTGGCTTGTCCCAGCTATCAATTTAAGAAACTATCTGTAGTAACAGTTAAGAAGGCTCATTTTAAGCAAAATAGATGCATTAAAATATGTATTACAAAAGATTAATGTTCAATAATCAAGTTGGTAGTAACTAACAATAAGGTTTTATCCATTTTAAATATCCAATTTAAATGAACAGTTGATTTTGAAAAAGAAATGCAAAAGGCAATGAACATGAAAAATTACTTAACTTCATTCCTTAATTTTTAAAATGCAAATCAAGGCAACATACCATTTCTTAACCTATCAGACTGAAATAACAACCTCTCTCAAAGTTAGGTATTCCTCTCCTGATTTTACATACATTTTGCATAGATACTCACTTTTATTTATTTATTTATTTTAAGATTCATTTATTTGAGAGAGAGGGAGAGAGCATGAACATGCATGCAGGGGGAGGAGGGGGAAGAGGGGATGGGCAGAGGGAGAGGGAGAGAATCCTAAGCAGACTCTGCCCTAAGTGCAGAGCCCCACGTGGGGCTTGATCTCACCACCCCAAGATCAGGACCAGAGCTGAAACCAAGAGTTGAATGCTTAACGGACTGTGCCACCAAGGAGGCCCCATGGATATTCAATTTTAAATGATGAAGTCAGAAATGCAGAGAATTTCAAATTCACAGATATTTCCATTGGATTGGCTGGAGAGGTGTGGAAGAGAATAGGCCAGAAGAACCTGAGGCAAATCTCAGGTTGTGGTCAAAGACACCAACATTTTTGTAGCCTTTGATTCCTATGGGTAAATTTGGTTCCCAAAGGATTAAATCCATTTACATCACCACAGTTGATACTTTCAGCAGTATTAGACTTTATTGTTTTAAAAATATTCCTTAGGCAAAAAGGGGGACTCTGGGTTTGCTTTTGTTGTTTTGAATTGTTTGAATTACTAGTAATTTACATCTTTGTTTTACAGATGCAGTCTTCTTTTATGAACAATTTTGTTCGTTATCACTTATCATATTATTCCCTTATTTGACATATGATATTTGCTATGAGTAGTCCTTACTCCACCCTTGTATTTCATTTTGGTTTGATGCTTTTTGGATTATACAAGTTTTTGATTTCTTTTTTTTTTTTTAAGATTTTATTTATTTGACAGAGAGAGAGACAGCAAGAGAGGGAACACAAGCAGGGGGAGTGGAAGAGGGAGAAGCAGACTCCCCGCCGAGCAGGGAGCCCGATGCGGGGCTCGATCCCAGGACCCTGGGACCAGGACCTGAGCTGAAGGCAGATGTTTAACGACTGAGCCACCCAGGTGGTGCCCCACAAGTTTTCTATTTCTTATAGTCAAATTTGTCTCTTTTCCTCAGTAATTAAAACATCTTTTAAAAACATCTTTAAAGATGTTTTTAATAAAAACATCTTTTCTAAGATTAGAAAATTAAGTATACTCCAAAAATGTGATATTCGGGGTATTTCTTTTCTTTTTTTTTAATTTTAGTTATTTTTTTGAGAGAGAGAGAGAGCACAAGCAGGGGGAGTTTCAGACAGGGAGAGGGAGAAGCAGACTCCCTGCTGAGCAGACAGCCCAATGTGGGGCTTGATCCCAGGACCCTGGGATCATTACCCGAGCCAAAGGCAGATGCTCAACCCACGAGCCACCCAGGTGCCCCATGACGGTATTTATTTTTAAAACTTCTCACTCTAAAATCACCAAGAATTAATTTTGAAATGTTATTTAAGGTATAGATTTAAAAATGAAATTTCCTGGGACGTGTGGGTGGTTCAGTCATTAAGCGTCTGCCTTCAGGTCAGGTCATGATCCCAGGGTCCTGGGATCGAGTCCTGCATCAGGCTCCCTGCTCAGAAAGGAGCCTGCCTCTCCCTCTGCCTCTGCCTGATGCTTCCCTTGCTTGTGCTCTGTCTCTGTCAGATAAATAAAATCTTGATCTCACGGTCATGAGTTTGAGTCCCACATTGGGTATAGAGATTACTTAAATAAATAAAACTTAAAATTTAACAAACAAAAAAATGTTTAAAAAAAAAATAAGATGAAGTTTCCTGCCCCCTACAATTGCTGAGCTGGACTGCCAGTATAATTTAATGAGTAATTGTTCTCTATACTCATTTGTGGTGGCTGTCTCATTGTATATTCTTATATCCTAAAATTTCTGCAGATTTCATCAGAATTTTGCACAGAACCCAGTTCAAGTTTCATCTGTGGTCACCATCCCACTCCAAACCCAAATATATGTCATCCACCTAATCAACAAGCCCAGCAGTGTCTAATCCAAAGCATCTCTTGAAACTAGTGGTCTCCATGTTTATTGCAACACCTGGAGCTCAAGCCACCACCATCACTTGCTTGGACCAGTTCACAAACTCTGAATTCCCTTTCTGTATGACAGCCAGAGGGATACCTTAAAAATATAAATCCTGCTTATAATCTTCTTTGGGGACCACAAGCCCCTGGATGATTTGGCCCCTGACCACCTTTCTCATCTCCTCTCATGTCACTGTCGAGCCAGTCTCCAGAACTATCTCCTTTCAGGTTCAAGAATACCATAAACTGGTTGTCACACGGAGGCTGCTATATGTACTGTCCCCATGCTGAGAAAGCACTTCCTTCTGATTCAGGCGGCAGCCCATAATTTGGGGCTCCCTGACAGGAACTCCTGAGGGGGAGCGCTTCCTGAGCTCCCTGTCCAGAGCAGCTCTCCTCTCAGCTTTTCACACCAACCTGCTTTACTTTCTCCCTCACTCATATCAGGAGCTGCAATTGTCTTAACTACTTGTTTTCGATTTTGTCTTCTGTATCTTCTTTTATAATAAAAATTCCTTGAAAGGAAAGATCTTGTGTGTCTTCTTCATTCCCATAAACCCAGTACTTAAAATAGTGAATGTTACCCACTAAGTGTCCAGTAAATTTCTTGAACGGATGGATGGCTGCGTGGATAGCTGAGTGGCTGGATGAACAGACAATTAGGAAACCCCTGGCACTCTTCCTCAGCAGCTCCATTGTTAGATTAATGTCTTATGCAGTGACTTAATGTTTGTTATCACCCAAGTATTCATTTTACCCTTTCCTATTCCTTACGGCCCTACAATTGTGAGGCTGTGGTGTGCCATCTCCAGGTCCAGGAGTGGTCCCCATCTTTCCAGGCACAGAGACAGGTTCAGTGACGAGCAGGACAGGATACCTAATTCAGGTCTGAGACTAGAGGAGAAGCCAGGGCCTTCTGGGGAAGACTCTGCCTTTTTCTTCCATATTGTTAAGATATGAATTAGATTTGATGTAATCCCAATGAGAATCCCAGCGGGCTTTTTTTCATAGCAAAAGCAACAATAAAAGGAAGAAATTAACAAAGGTAAATGAAGATACGTTTGAATACATGGTTTTTCTTTTTCTAAAATAGTAATTTAAGTGTTTATCATTTTGTTTTTATAAACTCATGTAAAGCCGCAGCTTTATAGATATTTGTCAAGTTAATTCTAAAATGCATATGGAAATGTACAGGACCTGGAACAGCTGTAGTTTGGGCTGCATCTTATTAGTGTGGGCATGTGCTACTCATATGCTTTCATTGCTCTTTTAAATATACATTACTTCTATTCTTAATTCCTCCTTTAGTCCCAATATTGTTAGAAAAGAGTGACTGCTTAGCTTCCGTAAATTCCAAAGTGGTTACAGTTTTAAACATTCAAATTTATATTGCTGATCTATAATTTTTTTGGCAGTTGTCATTAATATGATCTTGCAATTTCAACCATTTTGGAGGCTAAAAGGAAATTTGAGGTTTCTCTTTTGAAAAATGTTTTTATAAAATTTCTTCAAATTCTTGAAATGTCCTGCCCCGTAGCTTTAAGAGTAAATATCAGCTTAAGCTTCAGTCATCTAATTGCTGCATTTTGCCCATCGTATATTGTGAACCTAAGAATGAAAACCAGGTCTTTACTCTGTGGTTCTCTATGCCCTGTGCCATCAAATCTTTTCAGAGAGAGAAGAAGTAGAGGGTCAATAGCTATTCTTAATGAAGAAATGGCTTCACACCCCAAGCTGTCACACTCTGTCACACAACATCTGAGAATTTTCAACAGAAAATTGGCCACTTTCCTCATGTTCTGAACGGGGAAATTTGAGGAGACTCGCACCCTTTTCATCAATCTGGGATACTTAACTATCCTCTTCTCCACATCCAGTTGCTGCAGTTCACTTGCTATTAATGTGTATACTTTGAACTCCTAAATACAGGAAGTTAATTGAAAGTATACTATGGTCCTCCCTCCACAAAGATAAGATACTGGCAACCATGTTGCTTCCTGTCTTCACAAGCACAACTAAAGAGATTGAGGTGGCACCCAGTCCTTTTCTTGGGAATCACAAGTGTAAGCACTGCAATCAGCAATAGTAAGACTAGATCTTCAAAG